CGGACCGTCCGGTTGGACCGTTTCGACTGGGAGTCGACGATATCTCTGGTCTGGTATCTTCTAAAAACTGACATTTTCAGTTAAATCGGATTGAGTCGTGGTTGGACCGCTAGAATAGTGCTGAGTTACGGTCCAATCGTAACTCAATCCTGCCGAATTTCGGCATCGTTCGACGGAGAAAACACCACCATTCGACTTGGTGGCATCTCCACGACAAAACCCATCCATTTTCAGTGGTCGTCGTCCAGCCTTCGTCGCTCGCCATCCACCTAAAGTTCACGCGACCGTCGGACTTCATTCTTGATTCCGGCAATTTCCAGCGCCGATAGAACTCCCTAACACCACCATCAGATTCACCGGAACCTATACATCAAAAGCCCCATGATTCCAACTTCGATTGGCAGTTGATCGTCACTGCCGCCACTACTCACCAGTCTCTTCGGGTGACAGGGGTGTTTTAGATAGATTTCAAACCTTAAGGGAGTATTATAGGGGTGTTTTTGATGAATTTCAAACATTTAGGGACTAAAAAAATTTTATAGAATACGGTCCAACCGACCGATCCAACCGGTCAAACCGGACCCTTAAACGGGTCATAGTCTGGTCCAGTTTTCGAAACATTACTGGCATGTGTAGAAGGAGTTTATACTCATCGTTGGGAGCATATTATATTTTACTAAATAAATTACTTAAACCTTCCAAATTCTCTAAATAAATTAGCTAGTTTTTACTCTACACCATAATAATTATGTTATTGGGATAACGTTATCCTTTATCTAAACCTTTAGACTATGGTTTAATTAACTCTTTAACCATTACTTGAGCGTTCAAGTGAGAGAGGTAGTGTTATGAGCTATCCATCCAATACTGTATACTAATCTTAACTTTCATATTGACTCGTCTCGTGGTCGTGGATTCAAGATCATTTTTTCTTTACATGAGTATCAATTTCTATGATGAGAAAATGAAGAAGAAACCTCCATAGAAGTTAAAATAGAAGACGTAAACAATGTTAAGCATATGATATGAGCAGCAGTAGGTTGGTCACTCATCCATTTCTTGCTGCAGAAGTATGTCATCAAGGATTGAATTTAGTTAAGTAAGCTTTTTCGTTTGCCTTCAACTTTCAAAAATCAAACAGTAGAATGAAAGGAAAATATATCTAATACCCAAATTTGATTCACATTTACGACATTGATCTCGTAATCTGTTCGAAAAATACAATTGCATTGAATGTTATAAGTCTATCGTTAGTTTTCAATAAAGTCGATACTACCACCATTAATGTTCAGGGCACAAACCCAAAAACAAAAAGAAATACATTGTTGAAAGCACGAGGTTACTCAGCAAGAATGCAAAGAAACATGATGGGGATATAAAAATGTTACGGCAAGAGAATTTCTAAACAAACAGATGTAAAATTCCATTAATAGAAAACTAGATACATGGTGATAAAGATAAAACTATTTTCAGAGTTTTCCATCTTCACCATTTCCAGAATACATTGGAACCACACTTGTATTTGTCCTTCCCTTCACACTCCAACTTCAGATCATCAGAGATGAATGGCACTTTCTGCATAAAATTAAATCAAAAGAATAAAATGTTTGATTTTTTAATCCAAAAATAATCTTCAACACCTGATATACAATAAAAGAGATCTAAACGATATCTCAATATTTTCAATATCCGAGAAAATATGTTGTAGGCCAAAAGCCATGTTTCTCACTTCGACAAACACACTAATTTCGAACTCGAGTTTGCAAAGCGAAGTCTGAAGATTCCGAATTATCACAAAAATATACATAATGTTTTGATTTTACATTACTTTCTTATAATTGCGTATGAAAACTGTTTCTGAAAACATTTCAATCATCGGTGTTTTCTCAAAATTTCCAATATTCCTTGTTTTCAGTAACTTTTTTTTTTCCTGCAACTGCATTCGAAATTGTTTCTGATAACATTTTATTATGCCTCAAAATTTATTATCTCCTCATCTTAGTCAAAAGACCGTTGGCAGCCAACGGTTGATAATGCAGTTGCTAACATCGCAACAATCTCTTTATTTGAAAAGAGATTGGATCCGCGTGATGAAGACAAATTTTTTCACCATAGATATGATTGCCACATCATCAATTTGATTGTTAAAGTGGGTTTAGATGCTATACATGACCGTTGGTAGCCAACGGTTATAAAATCAATTTTTTTTTCCCCTTAAATTTTGTAAAAAAAATTTTAACCCCTATAATTTCTGTTTATTTCAAAATTTATAAAGGGTTTTATATAATTATATAGGAGGCTAAAAAAATTCAAAAGGGTTTGGACCCGAGCCTAGTGGAGGGATTAGGCCCTCCTCCTTAGGCCTATTCTGATTTTGGGACTAGGCCTGCTAGGACCAGGTTTTTGGACCCGGTCCCAAATGCCTAGCTCTAATTCTGCCACTTCTTCTTCTTTTTCTCCTTCCCTCACCAAATGTATTATGCCCACATCATCTTCCTCTTCTCCTTCCTCCACCAAATGTATTCTGCCTACCGCAACTCTCTCTGAAATGCTAAATATGACCATGAGCCCATCGACTTGGTTAAATAGTTTGAATTCCTTCTATGCACTTAAAGCATATGCCATACATTTGATTAAATACAATTTTTTATTACTGTAAAATATATATTAACTCACCCAAAATAATATTTTACTGGAATTTAACTAAAATTTATATACAATTTTTTTTCTTTCACAAAACACAAGATCTAGTAACTTCCAACAAACCCATTAAAATTTCCAATCTCTACTGATATTATTCAACTGAAATTCATATATAGATTTTTTTAGGAACCCAAAAAACACAATATAACATCCAGTAAAACCCATTGAAGTTTTTTTATCTCTACTGAAATTTAACAACTAAAATTCATATACAAACTCTTTTCACAAACCCACACAACACAAAATCCAACATCCAACAAACACAAAACGCCCATTTCAAGAAAAGAACCTTCAAATCTGCCAACCACTAAAAACCCAAAATCACAAACCCACAGACCATAAGATCGAAATGAAAAAGTATGTGCGAGAAAAGAAAGGGGGTTGTAGTGTCGGCATCAGTGTCACGGTCGAGCTGGGTGTCTGTGACACTGCCTTCAGCCACGATTTGGTTGGCTACAAGTTAAGTTGGTGGCGTCGTAGCCAGCCCAGCTCATTTCTGGCTGCCAGCAGGTTACGTTGGTGTCATAGCCTCCCGCGTAGAAGAAAGAGATGATGGCGAAGGAAAGATAAGGTTTAAAAAAAAAAAAAAAAAGGAAAGGAAAAGAGAAATTAGGAAAAAGCATATTTCAATTTTTAAATTTTTGATTTACGATGCTTCATGTAAATTGACCATCTTGCCCTACTTCAGAACAAATTTTCTTAGCAGAACATAACGGTGGGTGGGAAAGCATCCTTTTGAAACTTAATGGGTTGGAAAGTGTTGTTTTGCCAAACCTTGGGCGGGAAAATGTCGTTCTCCCTATTTATTTCTTTGAAGTTTTGTTAATTTCAAAGATACCAATATTGGTGATTTTTTCGTTCTATTTTTAGATCCACTAATATTTCATAGAAGATTTTAGCTTGATGTCACATTATACTAGCATGCAATGTTTTGAAAACCGGACTGGACCGTCTGATAGGACCGGTTCGACCGGGAGCTGACGATATCTCCGGTCCGGTATCTTCTAAAAACTGACATTTTCAATTAAATCGGATTGAGTTGTGGTTGGACCGCCAAAATAATGCTGAGTTGCGGTCCGATCGCAACTCAATCCCGCCGAATTTCGGCATCGTTCGACGGAGAAAACACCACCATTCGACTTGACGACATCTCCACGACAAAACCCATCCATTTTCAGTGGTCGTCGTCCAGCCTTCGTCACTCGCCGTCCACCTAAAGTTCACGCAACCGTCAAACTTCATTCTTGATTCTGGCAATTTCCGGCGCCGATGGAACTCCCTAACACCACCATTAGATTCGTCGGAACCTATACATCAAAAGCCCCATGATTCCAATTTCGATTGGCAGTCAATCGTCACTGCCGCCACCACTCACCAGTCTCTTCGGGTGACAGGGGTGTTTTAGATAGATTTTAAACCTTAAAGGAGTATTATAGGGGTGTTTTTGATAAATTTCAAACATTTAGGGACTAAAATTTTTTTATAGAATACGGTCCAACCGACCGATCCAACCGGTCAAACCGAACCCTTAAATGGGTCATAGTCTGGTCCAATTTTCAGAACATTGCTGGCATGTGTAGAAGGAGTTTATACTCATCGTTGGGAGCATATTATATTTTACTAAATAAATTACTTAAACCTTCCAAATTCTCTAAATAAATTAGCTAGTTTTTACTCTACACCATAATAATTATGTTATTGGGATAACGTTATCCTTTATCTAAACCTTTAGACTTTGGTTTAATTAACTCTTTAACCATTACTTAGGCGTTCAAGTGAGAGAGGTAGTGTTATGAGCTATCCATCCAATACTGTATACTAATCTCAACTTTCATATTGACTCGTCTCGTGGTCGTGGATTCAAGATCATTTTTTCTTTACATGAGTATCAATTTCTATGATGAGAAAATGAAGAAGAAACCTCCATAGAAGTTAAAATAGAAGACGTAAACAATGTTAAGCATATGATATGAGCAGCAGTAGGTTGGTCACTCCTCCATTTCTTGCTGCAGAAGTATGTCATCAAGGATTGAATTTAGTTAAGTAAGCTTTTTCGTTTGCCTTCAACTTTCAAAAATCAAACAGTAGAATGAAAGGAAAATATATCTAATACCCAAATTTGATTCACAGTTACGACATTGATCTCGTAATCTGTTCGAAAAATACAATTGCATTGAATGTTATAAGTCTATCGTTAGTTTTCAATAAAGTCGATACTACCACCATTAATGTTCAGGGCACAAACCCAAAAACAAAAAGAAATACATTGTTGAAAGCACAAGGTTACTCAGCAAGAATGCAAAGAAACATGATGGGGATATAAAAATGTCACGGCAAGAGAATTTCTAAACAAACAGATGTAAAATTCCATTAATAGAAAACTAGATACATGGTGATAAAGATAAAACTATTTTCAGAGTTTTCCATCTTCACCATTTCCAGAATACATTGGAACCACACTTGTATTTGTCCTTCCCTTCACACTCCAACTTCAGATCATCAGAGATGAATGGCACTTTCTGCATAAATTTAAATCAAAAGAATAAAATGTTTGATTTTTTAATCCAAAAATAATCTTCAACACCTGATATACAATAAAAGAGATCTAAACGATATCTCAATATTTTCAATATCCGAGAAAATATGTTGTAGGCCAAAAGCCATGTTTCTCACTTCGACAAACACACTAATTTCGAACTCGAGTTTGCAAAGCGAAGTCTGAAGATTCCGAATTATCACAAAAATATACATAATGTTTTGATTTTAAATTACTTTCTTATAATTGCATATGAAAACTGTTTCTGAAAACATTTCAATCATCCGTGTTTTCTCAAATTTCCAATATTCCTTGTTTTCAGTAACTTTTTTTTTTCCTGCAACTGCATTCGAAATTGTTTCTGATAACATTTTATTATTCCTCAAAATTTATTATCTCCTCATCTTCAGAAACAAATAGAAAACTGTATTTAAATTCTAAAGAAAAAACGATTCTCCAGAGTAAAAACCTTTTGCTTGGCAAGATCTTGGCAGCCAGTGAAGTTCTCAGGGAACTTGCAGGTACCAAATTCGACAGTGTAAGCTCTAGCAAAATTAGCCCCACTTGTAGCCAATCTCTTCTTGTCATTCAATTCCTGAAACAGTAATTTTTATAAGAAATTAAAAATAAAATAACATATAATTCCAAAGAAATCAGGCTACAACAAGAGGAGACTTATTATTTTATTCTCTCTCAAATAAAAACCGACAAGCACAGTCTTTATACAGGAGCGAAATTCTAATTCCAGGAATCTTAATACTAACACTTATCACAAACTAAGACAAGTTCAACGTTAAGAAGAATAACAAAATTAGACTTTTAACAAAATAAGCTTAGTTAATCCCTAACAATTTTTTTTTCCCTGGAAACAAACAAGAAAGCAAGAAACCAAACCTTGTTAACTTTACTCTTTTCAAGGTACTCTTCAATGACGCCTGCATTAGCAGAAGAAGAAGCTACACTTGTGGTGAAAAGGGTAACTGCTAAAAACGCCATTGCAGCTTTCTTTGCTTCATTTCCTCTGGATTCTTTCGGCGCAGAAGCCATTTGAGCCCTGATCACAGGCAGCTTGTTGAGGCCTGGAGAGACCACAGAAGGCATTGAAGCAATCTTTGCATTGAGCTCAGAGGATCCTGCAGAGCCAGAAATGGCATAGCTGCAGGCCAAAACACTGGAGTTCATGGCTGCCGTTGAGCTCAAAAATTCAGCAAAAATATGAAAACTGAAGAAAATGGTTGAGGCTTAATGGCTAATTTGGTTTTATGAGATTGAGGATGTTTGATGAAGAGTGATGATGTGGAAGGATGATGGAATTGGTTTGGGATAAAAGATTGTGGATGGAGTGTGGATAAGGTGAGATTGCCTCATTCCTATTGGCAAACTTAGACACTTGAGGGGCTGATGACACTTCGTGGAATTGAAATATGTGTGAAGAGTTTCGATTTTGGACCCACTTTGAATCAGAATTTCTGTTCAGTATCTCTCTGCCACTGGCTCAAGAAAGATTATATTATATTAAAAAATTTATTCATTTTTCAGTAATGAATGAAGAATATATTTTATGATATAAAAATGAGAGCACCATTAAACTATAGGAATGAAAATATTGTAATATGAATTGTTATATCTGTAATTGTTAGTTAAAATTTGATGTTATAAAGATGATAATTTTATAATAAATATTAAAGTTTATGTTTTTTTTTCAAAAAAAACACAAATTCTATCCCTTTTAACAACTTTTTTTTCACGTGAATTACCTCTTAGTAGTTCAACAAGGACCTTTAGGTATATTATTTAAGAGTTTTTAAATTCGAATCCCTCATCAGTTACCATTAGATATAGCCACTGAAATTCTTACTCAATCGATAGTTTCAAGATCTGGAAGGAATTAGTTGAATTGTACGTAAACTAAACCGAACAATTCCCATCATAAAAAAAATAAAAAATAAAAAAAAATAACTTTTTTCATGTGTTTGAATTTATTGGTTGTACACAGAATATTCTTGATTCTCAGTTGCCATAAAAAGCTTATACAATTATATAAATAGATATATAAATGTGTATTTGATTATATAAAGTGACGTTATATATACAAAGCTTAACTCATTTTTTTTAATTTTATTTCATGTAATAGTTGATTTTAAAAATAATTTTGTGTAACTCCTCTTCCTACAATTAAAGTTATATTACCAAATCGCATAGGCCAAGATCTCAACTTTGTAATTTGTATACTCGTTGTATTGATTATACAATAATGTGGTCAAAAATCAGGTTTATTTCTTTTCATATTAAGTATTAACCACCGCAAAATATTTCTTACCAACCGTAACATCAATGCTTGGCAATTGTCAATTTTGTTAATTAATTAATTAATTTTATATATATATAAAAGAAAAAATTAGACTTAAGTAATGAGGTTTTCCAGCCTTAGTCTAAACAAAAATTGGCTGAGAAAGTTGAGAAAATTGAACCAAATTCTTTGATAAAGTCCAAAATTCATGTACATATAGAGGTCTTCTCAATGTATCCATTTGATAGTAAAAATGAAAATCATGAAGTTCTATTTAGGTCTACACAGGGCAGGAACAGAAACTATACGAACTTCAGATTTCAACTGCCACCCTGATCCAAAACTCTAATGCTTCAAAATTTCATATTGATGGTCCACAAATTCTTCAAAATATTAAAGCAAATATTCCCAGAAATGCCAACATATTTATAATAAATTATAACTGCATACTAGATATGGTGAAATATGGAATGCTTCAAGATCTAGCTAATATATAGTTTCCTGAAAAGGCTTATTTCATGTATCCCTGGTGAGATCACTTAATAAAAAAGTAACATCTATTATTGAAAAGTATTATATAACTCCCTAGATTATCAAAAAGAGAACCTCAAAAAAAAAAAAAAAAAAAAAAAAAAAAAAATCCCATATAAGTACTCCTAAGCCATGATCTATGTACACGTCACAAGTAAAAGTTCAACAATATAAATCTGCATATAAGACAGTCATTCTATTCAATATCATGTCAATGGTTAAACTATACATATTTTTGTAGGTAAATTCTTTGAAGCATGATTATCATAAATATCTCGATGCTAAGAAAAGTTCTAGCCATACTATTTTTTTTTTTTTTTTTTCCTTCTCGGAATTGAAACATATTCGAGGTAAGAAAAAAAAGAATACCAAAAGGCATAAGCACAAGGAACTGGGCGAAGAAAACAAATGTTAAATGCTCTTGATTGCTTTATAAAGTCTGAAGCAGAGCCTGAAAGCTACCTTATTGGCAATTGCGATCGCACAAGAATTTTCCCAAAGATGAATGTGCAAACAACATCAGTATCCAAATCTTTAGTCTCCTCAACTGCATCTTTACACTTTCGACCATTCAAAAACCACACCATTCAACAATCTACATTGGTGGTGGCAAGGTGTTCACTAATCCTTGATAGAACATAAGATTTCGGGCAAAGATAAAACTCAACCAGGAAGAGAGTTATGATGATAAGCCGGACACATCAAAATCGAATATGGTTGTTAAGCAGAAAACCTCAATTTTCAGGAGCCAAAATTATCCATGAAGGAATTGTATATCTACCTATTCATGCAATCATCTTAGTCGAGACAGTCTTTTTCTCTTTCGGTTCTTTTTACGTGCAGTGGCATTCTGTGTACTAGTATCAGAAGCCAAGGGAAGAGCCAGAGTAGATGATGGTATACCAGTAAATGTCCTGCCTTTCTTCAAAACCCATTTCAGAGGCAGATTACTTACAACTGCGCCAATATTATTTGAACGACTCAGTTCAACCAGTTGTTTAATTTGATCAAGCATCTGGTGAGTCCACGCCACAGACTGATCTAGAGCAACTGAGTCGTCCATTGGTATTTTCGATAGATTTATTAATACATCTTTTAATGACTGAAAAGACATGGAAGGTTTATATCCTTCACAACTTGCACACATCATATTGACTTTGATAATATGCTTGCAAATGTTTCCTTGCATTGACCATGCACAATCACAGAAAGCAAATTCTGAACCAGGGTTCCACACAAGATGTGTCAGGCTGCTGTCTTTCTGGCTCAAGACCTTTGCAAAGAGATGTTCCTTATCATCCAAGGTAACTGCAGAATCCGGAATTTGCAGTGCCCGGTGCCATGATGTAGATGCAATATATTCCTCCTTAACATTTTGAAAAGAATCACTTTCATCTGCATACCGATCAAGCCAGTAGCTTGAATGCAACTCAGTCGTCAACTTGTGTACTAACCAATCAACTCTCTGGAGTGCACCAAGATGTGAATCATCAAATAGTTTGGCTTTCAGCTTCACATGATAAGCTTCTATGGCACCAGATGCCTCCTGGCTAGCCAGTGGAAGAGTTTTCATTGTTGAAAGCCACATCTCTGTTACAAGGAAATAAATACATAAATAAATAAAAAATTCAACGTAACTAAGTTAGAGACAATTTCAAGAAGATGAATTAGTGTGTACATCTTTGAGTGAGAGAGAGAAGGAGGGAGAGAGAGAGAGAGATCTAACCGAGCTTAGGTACCCAAGAGGCTTTGAAGTACTCAATAAAGGCAGTTTGATCAACAAAATCCTGACTTAATTCTTCCAAGGAAGCAAAAGCATCACCTTCATCCCATATACTGTACAGTATATTTCCTAGTTGCTTGAAAATTTCCCGCTGAATTTCAATATTACTGCATTTTCTAACAATATTTCTAAGCCATGATCTACGAACACGCCACAAGGAAAAGGAGACAGGACAACAAAATATCTCCCTGAAAAAGTAGTCAAATACCAAGTATAAGAACGCCAATTTATGTAAAACAATTTTAATTCAAATCAAAATCTGGAGAACAAGAACCTTGCCTTATGGGATCAATCTCAGCCGCTGCGTCATCAATGAGAAATCCACTGATTTTCCATCCAATTTCAATGCCCTGAGCACGATCAAGTAAAGCTTTCATCCATTTAGCCACGTCAGGCTTAGCAGAGCTACGTGTGATGACCCATGCAACAGGGAGTGCATGTTGTCTAGAATCAAAAACAAGAAGTGTGCACAAGGGATACTGCCATGTAAAAAGAAAAAAAAATGGAGTAAATATAAACACAGTTTCCAGAAGCTAGTCTGAACTGGCATCAATGAATTGCTTACCTTAAGTCGCTTTATGCCAAATGTTGAATCAGCTGCCATGAGACTGCGATGACCGAAACGAATCATTTGTTGCAACTGCCATTCAGTTTGAATACCAAGAATGAAAGGATCTGTTTCTGATGAATCCTGATAAAAGAAAATAGATTTCTTATTGCGTTCAACCCACATTCGAATGCTAGCTTGATCATCTAGATCCAACTCATGGGTAGACCGTCTAATGATCATCCCAAGTTTTTGAACATACTGAGAAGCCAGAGTGTTGACATTAGGATTTGAACCACAGTATCGCTGAATACCCTCAATATGTTTCTCTAACACACTCTCTTCAGGAATGCCAAGATAGATCATAGACATTGTTTGCTGTTGAATCTCATTACAAATATAAGGAATTTTCTTGGCTCCAGGGCCAATGGCATCTCTGTCAAGGGGCCCATGGCAGATAAAACCTGACTTGTTGACATGACGCCTGTCATTATATATAATGAGTGCAAGTGATGGACGAGCATACAGCCTCTTCACTACAAAATGGCATGTACAGCCTCGCATGGACTGAGGTCTGGCAGCACGATTTCTGGTGTTAAGTCGATATCTTCGACTAGGTAACACACCACCACCTTCCCCATAATTTTCAGGACCAAATGAACACCAATACCTTAAAACATAATATAAAACAAAACCAATATCAGAAAAAAGTATCCAACTTAAGTAAACTTTGTTCAGAAAAATAAAGGGGAGGGAATGCCTTCTTATAAATATTTCTCCGAGCACCTAACCCTAATTACTCACATGACCTATTCCCAAGGGAACTTGACAGTTAAATTGGCAAATTACTTTCAAATGTGTTGTCATCCTCTACAAGGCTGCCAAGTTCCAGTCATAGTGTTAATCTTGATCTGCCAAGTTTCAGTCATAAAATTAATCTTGATAGTTGGAGTGGAAAACATAACTCAAAGGTGGTCACCACATATAACTCTATACTCGCAAAATTAATGAATGCCCCATTCAAACATGTTGAGATTCAGAGATAAGGGGAAAATCTTAAAAAAAAGAAACCAGTTACCGTTAATAAGTGTTTATACCACATATTGAGCACTTTGGAGTAGCAGTAACAAATATCATGGAGAGATGTACCACTACAAACTGCTTAATATGTGGTACAACAACTCCAATAGTTTTGAATCCCAAAATATAACAAAGGGAATACAATAAAAGGTTAACGATTACGGATCATCAAATATATTTACTCAATCAATGAACTGCCAAGGGGTAATTTAGCAAAGGTAAAATGTCAATATATACATTAGTATTGACCATATCTTTGTGGATTTTATAATCAAATCTGAGACTTACAGCCTATATTCCAAATATGCATCGTTCTTGTACTCCTTCAAGCTGCCCTTAGATCGTTTTCTTCCCCTCTCAATATGAAACCGTGTTGGGCATTCTACATTAGAGCACTCTCCAATTATAAATGAATCAACTCGTGAATAAGGAATGAGTGCTACATCATCATGATGCTCAGAAGAGCCAAACTTGGTCCAACTTAAATCAGCAGAAGAAAAATCCTCCTCTGGCGGATCCTGAATTGGAATATCCACAATGGATTCAATATCATCAGCTGTTCTCCAATATGTTGACTATACTATTCAAAATCCATATCTGCAACATTCAGCGCACAAAACCATAAATTTTCTTCTCTTTGATTAAAAAATCAGAAGAAATAAATTCACAAAGAGAAATCGCAAAACTTAAAAAAAAAAAAAAAAAAAAAAAAAAACAGTTCTAAACCTGATAAACTATCTGAGTCCACAGTATAAAAAAAACAACCCTGTAATTCTACTTCAAAAAATCCCACAAATTTACAAATTCAAAATAATGCACAAAGAACAAAAGCCTATAGGTAACACCTAACAAATTCATTTAAAAAAGAAAAAGTAAAAACAAAAACTAATTTAATATCAACCCGCAAAATAAATACACTTAACTAAAATATTTGAATCCTTACAAGCATTAAAAAAAAAAAAAAATACAAAACAAAAAACAAATCTGTAACCCTGCCTCAAAAACATCCCACAAACGTTCAAGTTCAAATAATGTGCAAATAACTGAAGCCAAACAAATAACGCTTAAACGTCACTGTTTTGAAGCGAAAAACTTATTCAAGAACAACCCAGAAAATAACTACAAATAGCTAAACAAGATAAACCTTTACAAATTTACAAAAACAACACTGAACCAATGTTCCAGAAACATCTTCATATAAATTAAAAAGTTCAAATAATGCACAAAAGAACTACAGCCAATTCAAAGTTTTTAAGAAAGAACTAATTCAACTAAACTCTTACAGGACTGGAACTTGCAATAACTCAAAAAATATTAAACCTTTACGAAAGAGCATAAGATGCCACATACAAATTCATGTCTTGAAGGTTTTGAACAACAAAAACTCAATCAAAATACTCACTGACAAACAAAAACAAACAAAACCAGTTTCTTAAAGACCTTAAAGAAGAAAAGAAGAATAAAGAGGACCTTAAAAGGATAAGGCGGTGATGCGAAGGGCCACGCCACGTGCACTGGTAGCGCCACTTGAAAGGCCAAAGGGGTTTTGGGGTTAACTGGAGCAGTTTCTGGTTGTTACTCTAGTGGGTGGATTTGAATAGGGGAAAGACTGGTTTGTCTTAGGGTTTGTAGAGAAGATGGTTTGAATTTTTCCTTGTTAAGAAATAAACTAAAATGGGATATGAAAAGGGTAAAATAGTCATTTTATTTTTATTTTTTTTGTGATAATTTATCAGGGTTTTAATTAATTATTAAAAAGATATTTCTTTTTTTTTTATATATATATATTTCAAAATTTAAGAGGGTACAATATTGTAATTTTTGTGGTATTCATTTTTTCATTTGAAATTAAATTTTAAACATAAGATTATTTAGATAAGAATTTTATTTTATCTATTAAAGAGTGACAAATGACAATCAACACTTTGATAAAAATATTTTTAAGAGTAACACTACACTCATTAACACTTCTCACTAACTTTCTCTCATTACCGTCACATGTCAGCTCACAATTCATCAGTTCACATGGGTCGTGTCTGTCCAATAATGGATTCTGCCTAACCAAGCCAATCATAAACTCCCACATAAGATTAGTGAGAAGAGTTAGTGAGAGGGGTTAGTGAGATTAGTATTATTGTATTTTTAATACATATTTTCAGCACAAGAATTACATTTTACCTCCACTTATTGAACTTTAACCCCATATCCTTTTTATTTATTTATTTTTTAAGTACACTAATACCATAAAATTAATTTTATATTGATTTTATTGAGACCAAAGGTGAAGGTGGAATATAATTTCCCAAAGGTTAAAAAATTAAAAATGATAGACCAAATCATTGAACATGTAGGTATTAGGGTATTGATCATACTATACAATTAATTACATATATCAAAGCATTTGTTAATTAAAATTTTTAATTTCATTAAACCCTACCAATCTGAAGCCCCAAACCCTAAAGCGTTGCCAGCTTAATATGATTCAACTCACTTTAGTTTCACGGATTTGTTATGTTACAAATAATGTCACTTAGCATTTTAAGTTTATTCAAATCAATGTTATATACTTGAATTCAAATCAATCAAATGAACATTACAGTTTGATTATTGACCAAAAACTTTACTTGGTTGAGAACATGAGATTGGAAGTAACATTAACTTTACTTAAAGCATTTTTCCTTAGCTAACGAAACACACATTTTGGAGACAGGATGATCCCTGATCTCATAAATGGAAAACAACAATGCTACAGACACCAGTGTTTTTACACCGAAATTTTATACCGGCTTACGTGTCTGCTGACTCAGACCATTCAACGCGTTTTATGTTAATAATTTTTTTCTAATGAACGGCCGTCCATAACATATGGACGGGAGTCCATTTACCACGGACGGGCGTCCTCATTTTGAGGACGCCCGTCCATTGGTAAATAAAATAAAAAATATTAAAAAAAATTGGGGACGGCCATCCCTTAAGTATGGACGGTCGTCCATTCCTCACGGACGGCCATCCATACTATTCCTTTTTTTTTTCCTTTTTTTTTTTTTTTTCTAAAATCTAGTAAAGAGTCTGACATTTCTGCCTCTTTGGAAGTATGAAGATCGCGTGGAAACTTTTCCAACCAAGGATCCTGCTATAGCATTCTCCAGTCAGAAGGCTATCCAAGTTGAAGAACCAGAGCCACTGGTAGATCTTAATTTAGGTGCTTCTGGCCCTACTTTTATTGGAGAAAGCATGGTACCTGTTATAGTGGCCTCCAGAGGCCATGAAGTCTACTCCCCCTTCAAGCCTTACAGCTGCTGGAAGAGAAAGCCCGTCAGTGACGCAGTCCACAAGCTCATCATGGTTTCAGTAGATAAAATCTCCTTACCGCCCTAGCTCATCAACAAATCATCAGCTTAAAACGAAAGTTAAGTACCTGTTTTGCCTTTTTTTTCTTCTTTGCGCTTCCTCTCCTCTTCTCTCTGCTTATTCTTCAGCTCCTTCTTGCGCGCACTGAACACGCACACAACGCCACAAGAAAAAATCAATAAGCTAAAATTTGATTAAAAAAAAAAAAAAAGACAAAACTCAAATGAGACAATAAGACTTTTAAAAAAAAATCCCAGATAAAAAAGAGACAGAAAAAAAAAAAAAAAAAGACAAAGCCCAAGTGTAAGAGGCACTGTCTCACTTTAAAGTACTTACATGATATAACAAAGAAGATTCACAAAAAGTTAGCAGAAGTAGGAACACAAAATAGGCCACAAAGTTTCAGGTACTTTTTCATCATGGCGATTGGCAGAGTTATTGTTGAAAAATGAATCTTTTTGGTAGAAAATGAAGATTGGCAGCAAGATTGGCTGCCAGTTTGGCATGAAGAGTCTTGAAGGCACGAAGAAATTCCAGAGAAGAAGATGCCGCGGCATTGAAGAAATTACGTCGCCGCATGACCTGCATGACAACCGTTGAAAAACTGTTCAACAGCAAGGATGATTCTGGACCTCCCTTCTCACCCACTCGATTCTCCGGTAAACCTGCAAAACACAAAATCACCATTCTTCGATTCCCAAAAATTATTGCATCCAGCTTTTCAGTCTAACCTTTGAATATAATACTGGTTGGTTGATTTTTGATTACTTGATTTCATTGTTTTAAAACTCAGCCCGGCCCGGCCGGTTCAACCGGTTCAACCGGGACCCGGAAGCTTCAACGGGCCGGGTTTCTACTTTTCCTATTCACCCAAAACCCTAGAATTTGGGTGGATGATCGGCGAGCAATTGACGGTCGGAACCTTAGGGCTTTTGAAGATAAAGCGCCGTTGAATGTAATGGTGGTGACATCGTTGATTTCCGGTGAGTAAATCAACCGAAAATTGAACAAATTTAGCAGCAGCAACGATGGGATTTCGTCGGCGATTGGAGAGGCTAACGGGGGTGGGGTGAGGTGGGTTTTGGTCGGGAGAAGGAGGGGAGTGATTCCTGAGTGATGGGGAGGGTTGTCGACGCCGGCGTGGATGAGATCTGGCCTGGAATACCCACGCCGGCGTCGGTGAGATCTGGCCGAAATCGAACCTATTTCGGCCAGATCTTGGGTAGGTTTTAGTGAAAATGGGCTCAGGGGATGATTGGGTTGCATCTGGGGTGTCGCCGCCGTCAATCGGTCGCCGGTCGATTTGCATTTAGGGTGTGTTTGATAAAGTTCAAACATATAGAGACTTACAGGTAATTTTCAGGGGTGTATTTGTTGAATTTTAAAATTTGTTGTCAACCGGTTTAACCAGCGGTCAAACCGGTTAAACCGGTCAACCCGGGACCCGGAGACTTTGCCGGGTTGCACCCCGGGTTGGGTTTTAAAACATTGCTTGATTTGGTGTTTGTACGTACAGATTATAATGGGCCATTGTTTCTGCCAAGAACTGCACTCAAGTCCCATTGTAGTTACAATCCATGTCTATTGGCAACAGGCCCGGCTTAACCCATAGGCAGGTGAGGCCCCTGCCTAGGGCCCCCCAAAAAAGGCGTAAAAAAGAGGGCCCCAAATTATTTTTTAATATATTTATAATTTTTTAATTCTCATCAATCCCACCAAACTCGCCTATCTATCTTTACCCAAGATTATTTTTTTAAGAGTATTTTAATATATTCGTAATTTATCAATTCTTATAATCTCACCATGTCCAATCAGTCATGCCTACTTAAAAGTTAAAACACAATTGGCGGCTATTTTTCTGTTGAAAATTGATACAATTTCACGCAATCTCCAACTCTCAAACGTCAAATCACATCTTCTCTCTCCCCCAAATCTCTTATATAAACCTCATTTTACTTAAACGTTTTCTCACCTTTTACTCAATTTATTCTCTACTGAGTTTACTCTCTTGTCTCACCTTTCTCATCTCTCTCTTGTCTCTCCTTTCTCATCTTTTGTCTCTCATTTCTCAACTTTATTATATAAATTTATCAAGTGAACTTGATTTACATTATTATTATTTTTATGCAAGGTAATATTAAGAGCTTTAAATCATTTTACTCTTAGCATTCTCAACTGATTTTACTTTATATTTGATCAAGTGAATAATTGATTTACATTATTATTTTTATGTAGGGTAATAATGTAAGATTTTTGAGTATCAGCACAGCAAAAAGCAAATTCAGGAGCATAAATCAGGTGCTAAAGTTCTTTCTTAATTTTTATAATTATTTTTATTTTAACAACATAATATTAAGAGCTTTAAATTATTTATTCTTTGAATATAGATGTCTACTAGGAAGTATATCTGATTTGAAAAACAAAAGGAAAAAAAAAAAAGATAAGAACTAATTCAATCCCAAAAGGTGCACTTGATAAATTTGTTATTAATACAAAACCAAATACTAGAAAAACCAAATGAAGATTTAAATGAAAAAACAATTGAAAATTGTGAAGAAATTTTTAAAGATAAAAATTCAATTCATCAAATACTAGTGAAGAGTCTCATGAAAATTTAGAAAAAATTTCATTCGACAAAAATGAAAATATTAATGATAAAGATGAACAACTATTAAAAATATTTATGACCCGGTACACTGGATAATTTCGACACAAACTTATGTATTTATTAGTTGAGAAGGTCCAATTAGACAAGTTTTTATATTCCAAGAGATGAAAATTCTAGACATTTTTCTACAATTCATTACATTCGAAAATTACCAAATGGAGAAAAACATGATGAAAATGGCTATATATTCAAAAGAATTAATAAAGTATTTTGTTTTTGTTGTAAATTATTTAGTTTAAAAGCAAATACAATTCAATTAGCAAATGAAGGGTGTGAGATTGGAAAAATCTAGTGCCAAGCTTAAAAGTCACGAACAAGCAATGAACATGCTATAAATATGAACATTTGGGTTGATGTTGAGATGATTGCTTAAAACAAAACAATTGATAAATATTTACAAGAGAAAATAAATAAAGAGAAAGAGCATTGGAAGAATGTACTATTAAGAATTATAGCGGTTGTAAAAAATCTTTCAAAAATAATTTGGCATTTCGTGGTACAATGAGAAGATTTATCAGAAAATAATGGAAATTTTTGAGTTTAATTGAAATGATTGCTGAGTTTGATCTAATAATGCAAGAACACCTTAGACGTATTCAAATGGAGAAATTCATACTCATTATCTTGGTCATAATATCAAAATGAGTTGATAAATATTTAGCATAAATATTTTAGCATTAGAAATAAGATACCATTATTAAAAAAATCAAGAATCAAAATATTTTTCATTTATACTTGATTGTACCCCAGATACAAGTCATCAAGAACAAATGTCACTATATTAAATGTAGATATTTCAATAAGTCCAATAAAAATAAAAGAGTACTTTATGATTTTATAAAGTGGATGATACTTCGGTCAATGCATTTTAATGATCTCACAGTATATTAAAAAATCTTGAACTTGATATAAATAATGTGAGAGGACAAGGATATGATAATGGGTTTAATATGAAAGGCAAACATCAAGTTGTGCAAAAAAGATTATTAGATATAAATTCTAGAGCATTTTATACACCATGTGGTTGTCACAGTCTTAATTTAGTTCTTTGTGATATGGCTAATTCATGTACAATGCTATTACATTTTTGGAGTGACACAACGTATATACTCATTATTTCTTCTTCTACAAAACGATGGAAAATTTTGCAAGATCTGTTTCTAATTTAACACTTAAGCCATTATCACAAACACGTTGGGAAAGTCTGTTTGAAAGTGTTAAAGCAATAAAATTTCAAGCTCCACAAATAAGAGATGCTTATATCAATTAGCAGAAACTAGTGAAGATCCTAAAAAAAAAAGTGAAGCTATTTCTTTAGTAACATAGGAGATTGAAAATTTTGAATTTCTATTAGGCATGAATATTTGGTATGAAATGTTATTTGCTGTTAATACGGTTAGTAAATATTTACAATCTAAAATATAGACATTGTTGTTGTAACAGATCAGTTGAAAGTTCTTGTTTCATTTTTTAAAAAATATAGAGAAAATGGGTTTACATCTTCTAGGATTTCTACTAAAGAGATTCAGAGCAAATGAATATAGAACCAAAATTTCATGAAAAACGTATAATAGAGAAAAAAACATTTGATGAGGATGAAAACGAAGAGAGAAATTGTCTGCTGAAGAATCTTTTAGAATAAATTATTTCACAATTTAGTTGATCATGCCATTTCCTCACTTCAAAGTAGGTTTGAACAATTTAAATATATAGTAATAATTTGGTTTCATTTATAATATAGAAATGTTAAAATTGCTTGATAATGATAGTTTGCAGAAACATTGTTTAATCTTGAAAACTTTTTAAAATATGACATGCTCCTGATATTGATGGTTTAGATTTATATCAGAATTAAAAATTTTAAAAGAAATTATAAACGTGGAAATTAAAACACCACTTGATACAGATTTTATAAAAAAAATGAATTCTTTCTCAAATGCATGGATAGCTTATAGAATATTGTTAACTATTACTGTTACTGTAGCCTCAGTAGAAAGAAGTTTTTCAAAATTAAAGTTAATAAAATCTTATTTGCGTTCAACTAATCACAAGAAAGATTAGATAATTTGGCTATATATCAATTGAAAAAGATTTGGTTCTAAACTTGAATAAAAATTTAATTAGTGATTTTGCATCTCAAAAGGCAAGAAAAATAAATTTGAAATAATTTTTTAATATATACTTATATTATTAAGGCCCTAAAATAAATCTAGGCTAGGGTCAAAATGTTCTAGAGACGGCCCTGATTGCAATGAGGACGCGACTGTAAGTCATGTCCTGTACAAGACGGTGGCAAAGACTTTTTAAACCAACCCTCTAGTCCGGGTGAATGTAGTGGCAGTAAGGATCATCAAAACAACCCAAGAAACCGACAAGTCAGTGAATATTTTTTTTCATGACAGTATATGAAAGCTCTGAGTTATGTGCTTTAACGCCCGTCCACACAATTTGGACGGCTCCATTTTTTTTTTTTTCTAAAACACACAACTTTTATGGACAGTCGTCCATAATACTATGAACGACCGTCCGGGATGTTAACGGCCGTCAAAAGTGGACAGCCATCCATTTATGTCAGTATTCAATCGTCTAACGTGCTGCCTCCACGTGTTTTGTGCACTTTTCGGTGGATATAGATTTTTGATGGAAAATCTTATTTTATCGGAGGGTATCGATACCAAGTCTTTTTTGACCTCTGAGAAATTGATTTCCATGCATTCCCCCGTCAAGCATCAAGCATTTTTGCTCATAGCAGACCCTAATTGACAAAACAATATTTACAAACTAGAGAGGACCACTTCCGAAACCAAAAATCAAAAAGTTGGGCTCACAACTTGATACATTCGTTTTTAGTTGAATGAATGAATCCGCTACTGGCTTCAATGTTAACTTCAAAAGTGAGTACAAAAGCATAATTGATTGTTCCAACAGATAATATTTTGTAATGGCCTATACAATTTAATGAAAAATGAGCTTATAAACCGATGAATCTTGTAACAAGGATATGCGACTAGCTCCAACCGGTCAAGCCTAATCTGTCAGCAAGATTATACATTACTAGTTTATCCCAAACAGAGCCTAGGAGGTGCTCTCCTCCGATAGCAAATGTCAACGCCCATGAGGAGAGAAGAACTGCAAAGACTGAAAACCCAACCGCCGATGCAACAACATCTACAAAAGAATATATTCAATAAAACTGCTGCAAAGAAGAGATGGTGCGTAAAGATATAATGAGCAATTTAGAAAGTACACAATTTCCCTTCATCTCCAATATGCAAAAAAGGAAACCAATCCATCTATTGGAGATGGACCTCTCAAGTCTATGTATGCAAACCAATTGTACCCAAGACTGCTGCACCTTGGCTTCTACCAGATAATAATGTAGGAATGAGATGTGTAACTATGAGAACTCAAAAAAGGGGTGGCAACAAAACCAAATTTCTACATACTTTTTGTTAAAGTAAGCATGAACTTCAAAAATTTGAACCAAAAGATGCAAGACATACAAGAGGGAGGATGATCAGATAGAGCTAAAATATAAGACAAAATTATACATTAAATTAAGTATAGCTCTACCAAAAAATAAGTAAATGTGTCATTAATAAAAAAAAAAAATAGAAAGAATTATAGTAACACTATGATGAGTACAAGAGTCAACCTTTGCGCAAGAAGGCTCCCACTGGAGCTTTACTAAGATTGGCAAGAGCATAATAATACATTAAGCTGGTAGATACTATCTGGGGTATAGATTCTCTATGTATCTTTCTCCAACCTCCTATTATGCTAATTAATTTCAATCCCCTCCTCATCTAATTGTTCCAAAACTTTTAAAAATCTTGTGACATGTGAAATTATAGAATTGCATAGGCCAAAATTTAATTATTTACCTAGTTTTTAATTGCAATGTGGTTAAAACTTTAAAAAAATCTTAGAAAACATGTGAAAAAACTTTTATTGCCATATGTCAATCATCACAACCTAACACCCTTAAAAACTTGTTCTAAATTCTTAATCTGATATCTGGTTGTCCAAAACAACCATTATACAAGAAGTGTCATTTGTCAATGATTGAAAACTGCTGAAATGAGTAAGAAAGAAAAATGATCAAGCATTCAAGGATGAAAACACTTCATAATGGCAATAAAAACTTGTCATGCTTTATCTAGAAGAGAGGAAAAATTAAATAAGAAAGTAAGCAACCATATGTTAATCATCACCCCTTTTCATCTTTTCATTAATTCCTATTGTGAAATATGTTTGCTCTAATAGTTAAACAAAACCTATTGATAAATGGATCCAATATCTGAACAACCAAGCCAAAAGATGTTTTGGAATACATTGTAGTTCCCAATAATATTAAATTATGATTATTTACAAATTCACAAAGACAAAAATAAGTGTTTTGGAAGCTCGTAGAACCGAAAAGGAATAGATTAAATAAAGTCAATTCTGAACTTACAAGGTTATAATTGTCACATGTCACATGTCACAAGATCCTTAAAAGTTTAGGAATAATTAGATAAAAAGAAGATCCAAATTCTAGGTGGATAAGCAAGTAAGGTTCTAACTTAAGCAAGCTCAACAAGTGAAAATCGGGTGTTGTATCTCAATGTCATGAAATTGGTTAATTAAATCTTATTCTCTCTAAAAATTAAAGTCATGTTTGAAGCACTTTTGTCAAAAGGGGTTTAAACCAAAAAAGCTTACGATAGAGTACTCAGTCAAAACTAAATTCTGGATAAGCACCTATCAAATGCTTCTCAAGAAGCCATTCAAGTGCTTATGAACTCAAAATGCTTCTCTATAGAAGTCCCAAGGGCCTATTTGATGCTTCTACAATAAGTACGCTCCCAAAAAGCATTTTTGTTTCCCTTTTGACGATTAGAAAGTGCTTGTAACAATGACAAAGACACTCCCAAGCACTCCAAAATTATTGCATATCATTTGATAACTTCACCATTTTACTAAGTAACTGTCCTCATTCTCCAAAACACTCTAATAACATCATCGGTCAGGATACTGTAACAACAATTTTTAAGTAAAATTTGACGCAAATTGTTTTTTTCGTTAATCCATTGCAATCGAATGAAGCTAAAGGTATCTTATTTTTTATGTCAACTCATTAACTTTTAAACATTGAAATTGCAATGGATGAATGGTTATAATTTGATATCACAAATTTAAGTTAAAAAATCCTAAAAGGAGTGCTAACTGCAGTACCTTTCACACTTGATCTGTGTCTCGCAGAAAACAAGCGAGTGTTGCTGGCAACGGCAGCTAGTACTCCTCTTAGCCCAAACCAAACATTAAACTCACTCGGCATTGCAAAGAAAGACCCATTGACAAACACAGCTAGTTCAAAATTAAAACTTTGAGATTGTGGCTGTTTCTACTCTAACTCAAGACTAACCCATATTATTCTTTGCCCTTTAAATTCAATTTTAAAAATAAACTTCCCCTAAAGTTTTAACTTTTATATCAAACCCTAAACCCTAGATCTAAATTGGAGGAATTAAAATGCGATTGACCCACAAAAGAAAAACAAAAAAGAAAGCTAAAACGACATCGTAGAAAGAGAGATTTACAGCGACGGAGACGAGGGAAAGCGCGAGAGTGGCGGAGAACGGGCCAGAAGTAGAAGCAATTGACGGCCCAAAGCAAGGGCAAAAGGGCGAATCCAAAGTGATAGAATTTACGAGCGTAGCTCAACGACTCGTCCTCCGTCAGACCCAGAGGGCCGTCGATCGTCGGCCACACCGGCGTCGACAATGCTATCGAATTGCCGCTGTTGGGAATGATCGGACTGTTGCTCTCTGAAGTTTCCATATTTGAAACTAAAGAATTGACTTCAAATCATAAAATTGGAGTTCGCTCTTTTTTCGCATATCCTCATAAGCCGTGACCAAGACTCGGACCGGATGGAGCGGACCGGTTCCGATTATAAGTTGTATTGGCAGAATTTCAGAAACTGCCCCTCACTTTTTGCTAATCAACTTATGGAACTTTTGTCGAAACTCGAAAATAGTCAAATGCTAGCCCTAATACCAGCCAATTCCATTAACTTGCAAATTGAAATTTGCATAAAATTACTATTTTCTCCTCTCTACTATTATATTTGAAATCGTTTTTGCCATTTCCAATATTCAAACCCAACACTTCTAAGTATTCAATTCAAATAACCAAAGTATATATTAATAGTATTTTATAAAAATTATTATACAAAAATAAAATAAATAAAATAAAATAATAATTCACATATAATTTTTTTTTTTTTTGTAAGTAAGAAAAATTTTACATATCTCACCTGTCTGGGACTCAAACCCAGAATCATTTGATTCGGAGTCTTTTACTTGACTCATTGAACCAGATAGGCCAATTGATATGCTTAATTTTGTTAAAGTAGTGAACTAGTGATGAATCGTTAGAATCCAATTAGGAGGAAAATCTTTTTATCATATTTAATGAGTGGGGGCAAAATAGAAATTTCATAAATATTTTAACTTGCAAGTAATCAACGAAATAACGATGGTGTTAGGGCTTAAGGGTGGTTTTTTTACTATTTTCCAAAAAAGTGCCTAAGTTTTAGATTAGCAAAAAGTGAGGGATAGATTTTGAAATCCATGATGGAGAGAAAATCATTTGCCTTCCTAAGGTTTCAAAAAGTCTTCTGCATGTTTGGCTTAGTATTTTTATCCATATTCTGGATCATATTCTCGAAATAATGTTTGGCACATTATTCCAGAAATATTACCCTATTTTTTAATTACTTTTAGACCCCATAAAGTTATTAATTTCACTAAATACCCCCTGAAAAAAGTTTAAAAATTAACAAAAACACCCCCATCAACCCAACTTGTCAGATTCCGACAACCACCGTCGGTGATAGTCGGAATCTGTACAACGGCCTAACTTCCGACCAGAAATAGCCGGAATTTCACCGATGTGGCCTTTTCCGGCCAGATCCACCCAGAAATAGCCGGAATTTCACCGATGTGGCCTTTTCCGGCCAGATCCACCATGGATCTGGCCGAAAAAGGCCAAAGATGGCCGTCGTTTGGCCTTTTTCGGCCGTCGACGGCCATAATAGACCGTAGATCTGGCCTTTTCCGGCCAGATCCAACATGGATCTAGTCGGAAAAGGCCATAACGACGTGTTACGGCACAGATCCAACCGGTCTGTGCCGTAACGAAATTTTTCAGTCAGATTTTGACGGTGTTGGCCGGAATCTGGCACTGCAGGTGGTGGGGGTGTTTTTGTCATTTTATATATTAGGGTCTTTAATTAAATTAGTAAACCTAAGGGCTTTTTCATAAATTTTTAAAATTTACCTTGTAATACTCCCCTATCCAATAACCCAATACTATCCCCAAAATCCTATCCAAAATACTAAATCAAACGCACCCCTTACTTTGCGGAGAATTATGCTGATTTTAATCAGCTGCCCCCCCATACTTTCTAAAATTCATTAACTAAGGACTACAACAGTAACGTCATCGAAGCTACGGTTATTTATGAGTAGGTCAAGTCTCTTGATACCTTTACAAATAATATCAGTAGGATATAATTAAAAACAACACACCTTTTTTATTTTTTTTATTTGTGAAGACACTCTAGGGCTTCATCTTAAGTATGAATGAGAAAAGGAAACTCTTGTCGGTCCTTAGGATATATCTTTTACCAATAAAAATTAGTTCACAATTCGATCTTATAAACTTTATCTCACAACTTTTGATGTGAGAGTTTACAATTGGACAAGCAAGACTCATAGCGACAAGCATGACTCATTTGCGAGCTATCACGTCAGGAGTTCTAAGAAAAGTTTACAAGATTAGATTGTAAGTATAATATTACCCATTGTTTGCGAGCATAGTTTTAGGCCCTGCCCCTAGGTACGGGCTAGGCTCGGGATAACCATCGCTAGGCCCGGCTCGGCTCGAGTTTTTATTATTTAAAAAAAAAATTATATTTATTTTATTTGATTCTGATTTTGAAATCAATTATAATTTTAGTCAAATCTAAGATCTCTTGTCCACCATATTAATCTTACACACAAAAAATACGATGGTTAAAGCAAGAGATACTATTAATTAAGTTAAATAAATTACAAAGAAAAATATATCAAAAATTACCTTGAGAAAAATAATTATAAAAATTAACATGAGTCAAGATTAGGAGTCACAAAAAGCTCGTCGGGCCAAGCTGGGCATTACTAAACATCCACAACAAGCCGGGTAGGTCATGGGGTCAGGCTTAGGCCGAGCCAAGGGTTACCCGGTCTCGGCCCGCCCATTGTCATCTCTAGACTCTTTGGTTTGATAGAATGTAGATATCAATTATAAATTGATAATTGATAATTCTATTAATGACTTTTATATAAGCACTTTGATTTTCTTGCTTGTTATGGGTTTTTCCCCCAATTCTTTCACATTTTTGGACCCTTTTAGTGAAATCTATATTTTTCTTAAATATCCATCTTAAGTATAGTCTTAACAATTAAGATTTAAAAAAAAAAAAAAAAAATTGATATATAGATGACATGAATTCAATGATTTATTGTATCAATGATTGAAAATAAAAACTCCTGATTTCCATAGTAAAACACATTGTTTCATATACTACTTAAGATTTGATTCATGAATATTCAAAACAAATTATTAGAATATCTTCTCCACTAATAATCCAGTGATATATCTTTAGCTCACACGTTAAATGTTTCGAAATGTATGTATCAAGATTTATTAAGTATAATTTTTCCGAGGCTCGGGCACCGTTTTTTTTTTTTTTTTTTTTTTTTTCCAAGCCATTTTTAAGTCATTAAATCACAACACTTTGTATGACTATGATTTAATGTAACTTATATAATTGAAGCAGCTAAAATGCAATTCAAATGCATGAGTCCAATTTGACATTCATCACAGACATCAATCGTAGAGGGAAATTCCCTATATATTGACCTTTCTTTCTTTTTTACCCTTTTAATTTTCTTTTTCCAACTCGATTAATAGAATGAATCCATCATAATATAATGCGTAGAGAGAAATAAAAACTTTGCAGTGCTCAATCATTTATTTTATTGTTCGAAAAATAATGTTATCCCAGTATCACAGCCACAGGATGCCCCTTCCTATGAGTACTCTACCCTAAACTTTTCCAATCATGTAATACACCAGAACCATTCTGAAAACTTGAAATATGAAATGAACCAGAAAAATGTTTCAGCAAAATACTTCAGGCCTTTGCAGATTGAACAGTAACAATGACCATGACTGCAACTTCTAATTCAAATGGAACAAAGGGTTGAACCAGTAAAGGCTGTAAAAGAATCTATTACTCAAAAAACACAAAACGTCACTTCGTATTCATTTCTATCCTTACATTGCAAGTCCAGGCATGCACTACACAAGAAGAAGCATTTCTGACTATAACACAATGTTACACGAGAAAAATCTGTGCCCCAATATGATACAAAGGTGGGAAAAAATCAGTGGCACTATCTTTTCTTTCAATATAACAAAATCGGATGCTCGACACAATCCAATATTCATCCCATTTTCCAGTTTCATAGCTAGCACACCTCAATCTCTCAATCAAAACTGCCATGTGACTCTCTGGATTTTACAGAATATTATATAGATGGTACAACATCAAAGAATAATCATGTTGCCTGAAGCAAATTACCAAAGCCAAAAAACTACTAGCCTATTCAACCCAGGTTGAGATACAAAGCCTTCAATAATTACTGTCCCTGAGATTTCTCCCGCATTTTGGCTCTGGCGAAAAAGACTCCAGCTAGAAGACCTATAGAACATGATTACATTAGGTTGTGCTACAAAGAGAAATTCATTGGTGCAAAAATATCATTAAGAAAGTTATTCAGAGAGAACTTACCAAAAAAGATGCTAGCAGAGTTTTCCAAACTGGTAGGGACTTTGAAAAGAAGAATGCCGGCAACAGATAGAGGGATTTTATTCAGAGACCCCACTAAGCTGCATTGAAATCAGTAATGAGAAACTTTAACTAAAAATAAAGCACAAGAATTAGATGTGACATCGAAAATTTCCCACACCCAAATACAATGCTGTGATATCTTTTGTAAAGATTTTTTAAAGATAATCAGCTGGCAACCTGGGTAGGGCAGACCATTTTATTCTTTTAATGGTTGTTACCCCTTCTGTTGTTTCTAGGGTATTACTGATAATACCGAAGCTACACATAATAACTATGGAGACCTGCTTTTGCAGAAGCATTTGGATGTTTTGTTGAATCCATTGTTGGAGCCTGAGTGTTATAGCTTCATACTTTGTTTGAAAGTTTTATTAGAGTAAGCCATCTTTCTGATCAACTTAAAACTGAACTGAGGCCTAATCCATCACTGACCATACCCAAATTGAAAAGCAAACAGTAAACAGAGCAGATCACTTCATTTTTCTTTATCACATATTTCCTGCCTAAGTAAGCCAACAATCCGACTTTAAACTCTAGATACAGGTCAACTAAATCCAAGCTAATTTACAGTTACAGTAGGTTTTGCAAAAAGCCTCTACCCAACCTAGCTGAATCTCAATCCAATTTGTACTAGCTAAGCTAGAAAAGATCCAACATTAAATTGCAAATGAAGTTTAAAGAATAATATGGGCTAGGGTTGGCAGGTCTCAATAGACAAACCTACATTACATCTGAAAATACAACCATGTGAGGTAGTAACTGTTTTTCCATCTTACCTGTATGTGGTGGCACCAGTTTGATGAAGAAACCACATAGAAGTGAAGCTGATTGCTAGACCTAGAAAACCACTTAGTGTCATTACTAACCAGAAGCTAGGCAACCTCAAAAGTGGTCTGCAAAATCACATATTTCTGGAGTTAAGTCACCAAGATATGGTTACACATGTTAGTTACAAGATGCAAAAAACCAGAAAATAACACAACCCAGTGCCAAAAGGCTTGATCTAATATGTCTAAAGCAAAATTTGCCCACAAAGTAATGCCACACAATTGAGGACATGTAGATACAGGGTTTCTGCTGTAAGTAATTTAGGTTTTCACCCCAGTGAAGATTGAGAAAGTGACGTCAATAGGTGGAAAAACTTATTAGAAATTCAGAAATGTTTTGATAGTTGGATTGTTAACATGTGAAACGTTTGATGACCAGAAAGGTTTTTTAGTGCTTTAGTATCTATTCTTCAAAGACATCCTAATACAAAACTAGGTTTTCTGAAACTCTGGTTTCTTTTGCTCTCTGTGTTGACACCATAACCATCTATATGGTGCATGTTTTGACAATATGAATGTATGCTTATATCCATGATCCCTGAAATGAAAATATTCATGCATTTGAATGATGCATACGAGTTTTGGCTAAAATTCTAATTGTGAAATATTTATTCAAGATTAAAAATTGGAATTAAAATTGAAACTCCACTTATAACCTATTAAGTTATAGCATATCAATTTTCTGTACTTTCCACCTCAAACCATACCTAAGATAACAAAAAAATGAAAAGAAAAAGGGAGAAAAAGTAAAATACTGACGTTCTGGATAGATAATCAACTTCATTAAATATATAAGCAAGAAGAATCCCCAGGGGCAAGGAAAGGATGTTATTTAGCAAGACCATTGAAAACTCATTTAAGTTTCCAGACTTTGTTTGTTGCTTGGCAGTATCCATGACCCGACGTAGTGTTAGCTGCACCAATAACATTGAAGAAGTAAATAATCTAATGACTAGTCTTAGAATTAAACTGAAATAAAACAAGTTAACAGGAATATGGAACAACTAGTAAATAAATACAAACATCATGAAGATAAACTAACAAATTGTATAAAATATCTAGATGCACATAGGAGGACCAGGTATGGCAATAGGCATGTCGTTGAATTTAAAATGAGCAATGCTATACATTCCAAGTAGCATTCCAATCCCAAGTGACGTGTCATGCTATATAGAATTATCCTACCACTGATCACATTAGCTCATCCTTTAAAAGTTAATAACATATAAGATGTCAGGTCACTTACGATGAGAAATTTTGGCATACTAATTGGGATATGTAGCACCAAGAAAAGACCAAGTCCAAACATCATGTTTTTAAGCCTCTACTTTATTTGGGGTCATATGGAATGATACTTGCACAATAATTTTTTTTTTTTTCCCTCTCGGAGAAATCAAACCAAATTTTATCAATGTCAATAAACCAGATTACAAAGAAGTTGAATGGCAATGAACAAAGAGCCAGAGCGGTCATGTTTCAACAAACTGAACGAAATATATGACAAAAATTAAAATTAAAGAGCATCACAATTAGTATAGATAAAAATGAAAGTAGTGTCCTGAAATTGCACAGCAACCAAAGCCCATAAGATGCATAGGCCTTAAAAAAAAGACAGAACAAAACAAACAACTTCCTCATCACTAGCATCTTCAGAAATTATTCTATTCCTCAAATGCCAAAGAACCACAAAAGTATAACTAATTTAATAGTTTCGCCAACTCAAAATATTGCAGAAAGCATCCAACTTTATTAAGATGGTGCAATAACAATTTAATTTCTTAAAATTTGTTACTTATATGCCTTGGGTTAAGCATATTAATTCAAATAGTGCTTCTACAGATGCAAAACAAGTCATGCCTCTATCAGGAGGCTATAAAAGTCAAGTCTTCTCAGAATCGCTTCATAATAATATGTACATCTTGTGTACATTTTAGTGCCCAAAGATATAGAAGGTTTTGATTATCTAGAACAATCATGCTTCTTCCTTCCATGAGGGAAGCAAGTTCACGATAGTATCACCACAAAATTGAGCAATCAACATTGAGGTGGCACTTATGACACAACCCATCAACATGACAGAATCATGATATAAAGTTGACCTCAAAACAATTGAAACAATTACCAACCGAATAAGTTAAATTTGTTTAATAAACAGACCTTTTTAGAGTTGAATCCCCAAAATGTGAACATGTTCAACAGCAAAATCAATTGAACTCATTGTATAGAGCTAATAAATAGTTTTTTAAATTTATTTATTATCATCATAAACGCATTTTATGGTCAGTTTCTTATCTATATATCTTATAGTTCTTACTTTTTTATAATGAGTTAAATTTCTTTAAATGTATAAAATAGTTTGAATTTGTATAAAATAAAAATAAATAAATAAAGCCTGAAAAAGAATGAAACGCTGAAGTGCAGAACAAAAAAAAAAAAAAAAAGCCTCAAATTATACTCACAGAATATGATGCGGTTAAGAAACAGTTTATAATCTGCCATGTGTACCCAATAGCATGAAAAGATAGATCAGTAATCCCTCCAGAAATTGCCGAAATGATCTGCAGGAGTCAAAGGCAAATTATTATAATAGCTATTTATTTCAAAATTTATAAAAATCAATAGCCAGAATATATAAACCACAACCAATCACGACATTTAAGAACATGTTCAGATTATCTGACAGTCAATAAAATACAATCAATTTGACAAATATCATATATTAGCAAAGATCATTTGGTGACAATCTAACTCAAGACAAACTAAATCACAGTTTATCTTGGCAGCCACGATAAAAGCCATAACATAAGCGAACACAGCGAATGCGACATCCAAACTGTTTGAGCCCAGTCTTGCATCATCAACTAAAAGATCTGAGACCTAAGATAAACCCTCATATCCGTAGTTTCAGAATCCCTACGATCTCACCCCCAAACTAAATGTCAGAAGAAAAATAAATACACATAGTATCTATTCAAGATGTTGCAAGTCAACTAACTCCTTTACACTTATATTTTTCCGATATATGAATAGAAAGGGTAACGGCAATCCTTTACAACAAAACATGTATATGAAGTGACACAAAAGAGATAAGAATATGATATGCTTCCAGATAGTTAAATAAAAAGGTTATAAACTAAATTAATTATAATATCAAGTTTATTATGTTATGTTAGTCTAGATCCAAATTTGATGCCTCTTATGTTAGTCTAGATCCAAATTTGATGCCTCTCAAAACAACTTATATGCTGAAATTACATCTTAAGTTATTGAACATACCATTAGAAATAAAGCAGCCCAGACTCTGTTGTCATGATGCTTCTCGAACAAATACATCTCACCAAGTGCAGTGATTACATTAGTAACATTCTTCAGTACTGTGACCATAGCAACATTAATGTATTTCAAACTGCAGACAACATGAAACACATATAAATGAAAAGAAAAGAAGCCATGAAGATGAAAGGTAAAGAAGTTATCACTAAGTTCAATAACATTCTGTTTTGTGAGACAATATTACTGATAACCAGATACAGATCCAAAAGTCGTCCTTAACAATACAATAAACTTGATAAACACAATAATAAAAGAAAAATCTTTAAGAATGTAATATTTCTAAAGTGCAGAACCAACAAGCAACATTAGATGAGATACATTTATAATTCACTGGGACATTCTTCAGAACCAAGAAGAGAGTATCACTAGATTTAGGGGAAAACACACCAGAACAGGAACTCAGAAAGAGTGATCCTGAATATTTCCAGAAGGATTAATGGCGCAATGGCACTATATCCCAAGCTGTCTCCAAGACTCAACTAGTAGAATATCCTTTGGACTAAATGTCCTCTCCTAGCAGGTATGATAAGTTGATAACTTGAATCCTATATCTGTCCCCGTTGGATTGAGTTACAACACTACCCTCCCCACGTCATAAAAATATACATAATGCTATTTCAGAAGGCATTTAAACTCTTTGAGAGACTCAAATTGAGGGCTGGGTTTCCATCACCACCATAGTTAAGCACCAACCCTTGATTATGAATTGCCTCTGGAGTTACAATTAGAAAACAGTTTATTAACAAATGATTCCATGAAAGAGCCAAAAAAGAAAAAATTCTGCACAAAAATTTTCCAAAAGCATGATATACGAGTAAACCAGTTGCTTTGTCTGCTATTCAACTGAAACATAGATTGGATATTAAAATAATACATAAGATCAAGACTGAGGAACATCAGCCAATGCTGGTCTTGCCAAAACACTTAAAATGGGTGATCTAAAATGTAACCGACCTTGGAAGATTTTTAATGTTAGATGGAAACTCTACAAGTTCAAAAATGCGCACTCACACATGTGACAGCCCAAAAACAAAACATTTCTTAACAATTTTTTACTGAAAGTTGGATAGATGGGCAAACATGAGCACAAATCAAATATCCATAATCCCCAAACATTGCAAGTAGATAAGATCAAAACCAAGGTACATTAGCCGGTGCTGGACTTGCAGAAGCATTTGAAAAGAGTGATCTAAAATGCAACCGACCTCAGAAGATTTTTGACATTAAAGGGCTATTCTATAAACTCAAACATGTCCGTTCACACTAAGAGCTTCACAGTTACAGCAGATAAAACATTACCTTTCAAGCATGATGAATCAAGAAAACTCAGCACAGAATTCCTGTCTAGCTCACAATAGATTACCACTAAATGTTATCAGTCTTGGCTTTCAATCTACTTATTCATACATCTTATACATCAAGTATTATAGATGAATATTAACAACACATAAGTAGAGATCTGCCATTCGACAAAAGATAGCACACCGGCAGCAATTTTAATTCTAATTTTTTCTCTCTCAACAGAGAAGGCATGACAATGATAAGGTGTCAGGGTAATTTTCCTAGCTAAAACACATCATTGTCATATGAAATTGACACTGAGATAAGCAATGACTGAATAGGTTCATACCTAAACATGCTTGTAATGAGCATCCCAACAAATATAACATTTACAGGTAACCAGACTTTAATCAGCTTCCATGTTAGTGGTTCTGTTGATATTACCCCCATAACACTCAACGTAGACACAATAATCACTGAAATAAAATTCTGCATCCAACAAAAAAGCCATGAGCCAGTTAAGTATCAAAAATTATTTCTTAGATAATTTTCTTAAACAACAGTAAATGGAAACTCAATAAAGTTAATTTCATAATTCAAAAGCATAGCAATTTAATTTAATAAAATATATTAATTAGGATAAATTACCTGGTACAGCATCAAAGATATTCCAGCGTTAAATTTGTATCCCGAAAGCACAAACTTGTTAACCAGTATCATGCTGCAAGAGGAAACACAATACGCAAGGCCAGACAATAAGGCCTGATTTTGTATTTTAACTGCCCTGTTGTTACGTATTGTTTTATCTCTCTCTTTTTCCAATTTACCACCCTCCAGGTCACTTTCATCACTTTCAAGAGACTTCATGCTTGATAATGACCTATATATAAATGAAAAAGTTTAACAAGGGTAGCAGATGATGTCCAGCTTTATTATTCGTTATGTTCAACAGATAAAGAAGGGAAGGGAAAATATATGATCACTAAGTTAGACTAATATATGAAAGCTCATAACGAATCTCATATGTCAGATAAAGGCATCAGGGAAAGAAGAAAAGAGAAAAAAAAGATGTAAGAGTTGTAGATTCATTGATTGAGAAAAAGTATCTTAACAATTTTAAATAATACTCACTTTTTTTTTTTGGGTAAGTAATAATACTCACTTTTAATTTAATGCAGTAGAATATTAGAATATAAAACATAGCAAGAAACATTTAATTTTTAATCCAAGGTTAGAAATGAATGAAGGAAGACATATGATTTATGAAACTAGAACGACACCCCCAATAATAGGCAAAATCAGTTGAAATATCATCTTGTAGGTTCCTAGTGCAAGATTTGGGACTAGTTACCAACTATTCTCATTTACAGGAGTTTTGCACCTTTCAAGTAACTCCAAACCCAAACAAAAAATATTACAGTGATTCCAGCATTTAAGAAAGTGCATTTTCAATCCTCATGCAGAAAGCTCCATTTTGCTAAATTCTCTTGCACATGGCTTACAGATAAAATAACACTTCATCAGCAAGCCCTTTGATTTTCTAAAGAACGAATACAAACCTATTCGAGAGCTTTCTGCAGTAGGATAATGCAATAAGAGATAAAAATAGGATAATCACAATATTGAAAACATATTAAGATATGGCAGTATATTTGAGTGTGTTCTACCTGTTAACTACTTCTCTTCTCACTGGACTAGAGACCTGTTCTACTGCCCCGCTTGACTCATGATATAGGAGGCCTCTTTCTTCTAAAAGGTGGTTTCTTTCGAAAATTGGATTAGGAGAATCCAAGTTAGCACCTAGAGAACGTGGCCTTCAGAGAAATTATTAAAATCATCAAAACCAAGTCTTAAATCAGAAATCATTAACTACAGAATGAATGTTATGCAAGGGAAATCTGGGCCATCAAAAGAACAAGAACATAGTTATGAGTGAACAAATTCAAAATAACTTGAAAGAATTATCCTTAAGAACCCCTTAAGTACAAAACCAAATTGTAGAACACTAAGGCAAATTACCAAAAGTGATTAGTATGGTAAAGCTGCTATTAGTAAAGGTCAGAACTTTTACCCTCATTCTACATAAGTAAATTCCATTTCCCTAGAAGATGAGGACTTGCATATGATTAGGCAAATAAATTCAAAAGATCCAAAAAGAAATCCCAATGACACCAAAAGGGACTGCAAAAATTAAAGATCAAATTTCTTAAGTTAATAACCAGAACCACTCATTAAGTTAATATAACAACTTTAAAGTTCTATTCAAATTTCTCTTCAATGAATATCTAACACCAGCTAGATTTCAATCATTTGATCTTCTATTCTATTAATGAATCAATCAAATCCCCAACTAAAACAAGAGGAAAATCAGAACCAGCATAACTTTAAAAGCATAATTTAGTACATTCAAAAACAACAAAAAAGACAAGGAACAAGCTTCAAAATTGAACTAAGCTTCCTTTCAAGCTCAAAATAAAAAATAGCAAAAAACTAATAGAAGTTCTCTTTTATCTAAGCTATTTGTGATCATTTGAGAACCAACTTCCAAAACTTAAATTTCACATGAATCACAAGCTAAAAATCAAAACAAACAAATCTCCACTTGATTTCACCACAAAGTAATAAAACCAAAACCCTCTCAAGCACAAAAACAACTTCTAAGTTCAAAGCTAAAATATGCTGTGATCATCTGAAACCAACTTCCAAAACTTAAACTGTAACAAGTACTGGTGACTAAAAAACAAAAAACCAAAAAACATATTCCCGCTAGATTTTACCACAAAATAATAAAATCAAAACCTCTAAGCACAAAAACAACTTCAAAGTTCAAAGCAAACTTATTGGACCATCTGATAAACCAACTTCCAAACTTCAACCAAGAACCGTAACTAAAAATAAAACAAATTCCCATGAGATTTTACCACAAAAAAAAAAAATTAAAATCCCCTTAAGCACAAAAACAACTTCAAAGTTCAGAGTTCAAGGTTCAAACCTAACTATGTTGTGATCATCCGATAAGCCAACTTCTAAAACTTAAATTTTCACAACAATCAGCAACTAAAAATCAAAACAAACAAATTCCCACCTTGAATTTCACCACAAAACACCAAATAAATCCCCCTCAAAGCATAAACAACTTCAAAACCATCAAAAACAACAGAGACAAAGAGAAAGAAATTACCTTGAACCCATTAGAGCCAAAGCCTAAACAGCTACAAGCAAAGCTTTCGAATCACGAAGAGGCATCAAATTCGAAACCCACCAAACTTGCACAGACCCTTTAAGATTTGAGCAAGCAGAAACAAAACAAGCAACAGAAGTTAAAACAAAGTAGTACGGTCTTTGAATGGTGGATTGTGAAAAAATAAAAATAAATAAAATAAAAGGAAGTAAAAGGGAAGTAAAAGGAAGAAGAAGAAGTTCGAGATTTGAAAATGTAAGTTTGCTGCGTTTGATTTGTCATGGAGACGTTAAATACTAAATATATATTATGAGTTTTTTTGGGGAGCTTCGCAGAATATTTGTTTTCCTATTATGGGTATCATTTGCTAAAATGCGCTGCCGGTCGCTGTACTTTGTAGAAGGTAAACTGTAGACTTCCAATAATTAATGCAGAGTAACTGGTTTTACAAAGACACATATAAAAGAAGTATATAAGATAAAACACCCTTAATTTTCATGATTTCTCTCTCTCTCTCTTCTGCTTTTCCGTTTTTCTTTGTTTTTTTCTTCTGGATGATATCACTTTGTAATCCTCTTTGTATGAGTCTTTGTAAAGATAGCATTTTCCATTAATGTATCCATATTGGTCGTTTGTGAGGCTACAAGCTACAATACCGAATATAATGTTATCATCTGCTCGTAAGTTTAGATGAAATTGGGAACGGTATCATATGAAGAAAAAAAAAACTTATGAAATCGTTCTCACTTATTAAGTGATGGTGAAATCAGATGAGTAATGTTGAAAATTTGAATTTTTTTTAGCTTTTGGAGAGAATTTCAAATTTTTAATATTAAACTGAATTAATACAATATAATACACATAATATTATTCTATCAATATTATTTTATGAGAAAACTTACAAGAAATGTTTATCATAATAGTAAGATAATACGGTAGATTGTCCCCTTATAATTAGCCATATCTGTAACAATTTTTTAAAACACACACATATAGAGGTGGGGTGGTTATTGATAAACTGTAACGTTAATTGTACGGTCTACTTTGTCAATATACCGATGTGTTAAGACTATCCCAATGAAAGAGAAACTTAAAAATATACTAAATGTTTTATTGGATGGGCGCATCAGATGGCATGACACGTCATTCCGACGTAGTAAATTTGATGGGTATAAGAGTTATAATATATAAAATTTTAAAAGAGATAAATGCATTACATCATTTTTATCACAATCTAATAGTGTTAAGACATTATGCATTCGTATTTTTATTTTATATTAATGATATATAAGTTGGTTGATATTAAGGATACATAGTAACATATTATTATTGAACAGATAGCATCATACGTATATCTCACTTCAAACTTTATAATTAACCATATTTTGTATTCAATTTCATACTCTAGACCACTTAGCATTAGATAACATAAGCTCCCTCTAATAATATCGTACTTAAATAGGGTAAATACATCAAATCATTATATAATATCATCTATTTATTTTATATTTCGTTTAAATAACCACAATCTTGCTCATTTTAAAAGGATTATTTATGGTGATAATATCTTATATTGTCAAGTACATAAAACATTATAATTAAATTTGATATGAGAAATTTCAAGTAGAAGTAGAAGGTTAAATCTTCAGGTTTATGTTTCGTAATCACGATGATAAAGAAGGAATATTTTTACTTTTATCACGAAAAATAACTGCCCTTCCAAGCATGATTTGTTGGCTCCAAAGTTTTAATATTTATTATTCTTTCAATTTAATTATTTAATTTAGTCATGAAATTTCTCATTTACCTCTTCTAATTTCAAAGATTTAGTATATATTTCTTTGAAAATCAGGCAAAATTTGACCTATATAACATTTCTTTTTCTCTTCAAATAAAAAAAAAAAAGGAGGAAAGATTTGCATTTTTAGCTTGAATTGAGTAATTTCCTTCAAAATTCTTTAAATTATTATTATTTCTGTAATTTCTATCTTGTCCTTGGTCAATAATATTCTATGAAAAATTATTTATAAGATGTAGAGTAACAGCAAGGACACGGATTTGATTTTGTCACATTGTGGTCCGGTGTCCCCCAAAAGTTGACTTGTTCACATTTCAAAGTCAAACAACTTATCTTTGAACTATTCTTCACATAATGTTTGATTCAAGGGGGAGGGAAAAGAATTAGGTGTTCCAATGATTTGTGGTTTACTTGTTTTCTAAATTTAAGATTATATATTTAAGTAGATTTAATAATTGACTGATCAAAATTTATATATTTAAGTAGATTTATAATTGACTTGATACATTCAACAAAATGTTGTGTGACCCTCAAGATTGTGATTAAATTTAATGGAATAACCTTGACGTAAAAAGATATAGTTAGAAATTATTAAATACATGTGATTAGTATTTATGCAAATAAATTTTAAATATTATGGACCGATTCATAATACTATATTTTTTTTTCACTATTTTTAAGGGTGTGTTTGGCCTTTTTTGTAGTGAGCACTTGTTAGTTTCGAGATAGAAATTAACCCTTGTGAATTTGGGCCTTTTTAGTGAGCACTCGTTGATTTCGAAATGTTACAATTCAACTTCAAATTATCAACAATTTTTCATCAATTAACTTCCAAAAAATATATAGCCTCTTAATAATGTTGACAATGTTAAATTGATAAAATTAGATGAATAGTAAAATGTCCGTCTGTGTTTGTTTTTTGAAGAGTATTTTTTAAAAATAGAATTGAGTTGTTATTACAAAGTAAGATTTAAAAATAATAAAAACACTCATAGGTTGTTATTAGCTAAACACCCCTTACAATAAAAAATTTATAAATTAACAAAAACACCCTCACACACCTACATTTGTCGATTCCTACTACTACCGTCAGAAGATGGCTGAAACTGACAAATGTGGGTAGATGGAGGTGTTTTGTCAATTTATAAATTTTTGTTAAGGCATTTATAAATTAATGAACCTATGAGAGTTTTTAAAGGTTGAATATAAATAAGATTGAATTTTGATATAGAGTATTTTGGTGGAAGATGAATAGGATTGGGGAAAAAAAGTAAAGCAAACAGGCGCGTCGTATCCTTAAAAAAGGGAGGTTAGGATCGCATGTTCAAAACTAGTCGCTGCTCACTACAAATAAGCCAAACACATGAAGGTTGGAATCTGATTTTCAAAGCTAGCCAGTGCCCTACAAAAAAGTCAAACACATGAGAGTATGCTGTTAAAAAACCCACTACTTTCAAACGATTGTATAGTTGATGTTACATAATATGTAGAATTATTACACCTTAGAAAATGAAACATCACAGAATGAAAGTTTGTAAGAAATTGTATAAAACATAGTGATGTTTTGTTTTTCGTAGCAAGAAAATGAAAACCATAAGTTTTACCATCAAAACATAATTATTTATAATTAATAAATTGTACTCACTTTAAAACTTAGTTGATGAGAAATAATAATTATTATGTCTGAAAAAATTGGGCTGACATCGAGTCTTGTCAGTATGGGCGGTCAGAGTTTATGTAGGTTCTGCAGCCATTCAGACGCAGTACTCATACATGACGTGAGCGACAGCTTGTCAGTGCAGTGGTGTGCGCCAGATTGGCGAAAGGCTGAGATGTTTCACGGTTCCAATCCCGCACAGGCGAGGAAATCACTTGAACAGGTGAGCAACGGGACATAAAGAAGGATTTGCAGTGCAATCTGACCAACTCACAGATTCAGTAATCATTACCTCAATTCATACTATATAAAAGAGGGTTCCTCTCCCGTTCGTGGAATTAGCTAATTTCACTCTAATAGCAATTCTCTCTCTCTCTCCCTCTTGTACTCTCAAAGCTAAAAATCAACTCGCTAGACGCGACCTATTCTACATTTAATACAATATCAGTGGACGTAAGATTCACTTGTTTAAGCACCGAACCACTTTAAACAATGTTCTCATCTCTTATTCAACCCAATATCTCCATATACACGGTGTCTTCTGAGTCAGCTTAACATTTCTCATATGTAGTTGGTGTCAAAATCAAGCATCAACAATAATAATATATTCATTAGGGAAAACTTTTTTCTTTTTTTTCATATAATATAATCAGACATGATCCTAATGATATATAGATGACACGAATGGTTAATCTATCGAAGCTTTTTTCTTAAACAAATAAATACATCTGTGAATAAATATGCGTAATGCACATCCATTATACCTAAAATGTATTTGAAAACATGTCACATGTGACCAATCCATGTCCTTTTCAATCGTCAATGAAGGAATTGTCATTGTCATTGTTGGTGCTGGTGACAGTTTTGCGGCTGTTTCTGGGGCATTGGGTAGGCAGCTACAACTATAAACAAACTGGAAGCATGTACAAGAAAATAATTTTTCTAGTAAAATCTATTTTCTTAGTAGAATGAAATAGTTGATTTGTCCCAAACTGTTTTCGTGGCTACCAACCCCATTTGAAAACACTTCACCTTCACATAAAACATAGAAAAATAAAAGTAAAAAATCTCCCACAATTTCAAAGTAGATATATTTCCATTATATAGTTGAATGGATCTAGTTGACCATACTTATATTAACAATCTTTTTAATAGCAAAAGTGGATGTATCATGTACATTGGTGTTAAAATGCAATTTCCAAAATGGTGGCAAGAGTGGATCTTTCATATTATGTTACCAATTTTAGGTTTAAGAGCATCTCTGTCACCTGCTTTCCTGGTTGTCCCATTCCACTATAACATCAACATAAGAGCTTATTTCATTTATTTATCCCAACAAATCACTTAATATGAAGCACATATGCTATTATTGAAAGATACTTATACCACTTGAAGAGGTTTATTCATTCACCCCAAGGTCGCTTGATGTAAAATGTTGCTAGTAAAAGGTATTAGAACCACTTGATATATATACTTTTGAATAACAGCGGAAGCATTTCATATCGAACATTTTAGGGGTAAATGAATAAAGCATCGCCATAATAAATTAGAGGCTTGTTTCTGAAATTTGTAATAGTTAACAATTACAAATTAAGTTTATGAATCGTATATAAGGCCAACTAGAGTGGAAAATGGGTGTCAAAATTCAATAAAGTTGAAAATACTGAAGATTCTCAAGGCAACTATCAAAATTTACCTCTGCTGTTGAATAGGTTAAGAAATAGCTGTCTGTGTCGTGCAT